CGGCTGCGGGGCACCGAGCCCTCCTCAGCACCCTGCCCGGGCCTGGGCGTTCAGCCCGTGCCGCGGCCGACTGGCCAGTGCCTTTGAGGCCATTGCTGCGCCGCGGCCTGCCGGCGCACGGAGATACATCCCCAGGGAAAACAGCTTGGTGGCCAGCAATGGGGACAGGATGCCGAGTTCAGTGCTAAAGCGGCGTTCCTGTATCGGGAAATTGAACCTTCCAGCGCCTCTTCCTCACCTCGTGCGCTTGCAGTGATTCTGCCTTTTGTCTGCCGTGTCTGTCGCAGAGCGCAGACACCGTTCAGGGCAGAGCCTGGCTGCTGTTCATTGTGTCTGCACACTATTTACTCAACACCGGGCACACTTGCTGCTTTCGCATTGTTAAAATATTCAGTAAGATAGATAAGACCAGTGGACAAAACGAAACTGAAATAATGAGGTTTATGCATTTGCCTTAACGGTGGCTGTTGAGTAATTGTGTTCCTTGAAAGTGAAACTTATGGAACACAAATTTAGTAATTTTATTTGGCAATTCCAGCTCTTTTAAAAAAGGACTTTGTGTACAACCAAGCTGTTTACCCATCCTCTGGAAATGTGGTGAGTGCTTATATCGTGCTTCAGTACCCGAGTTCAGAGGGAGAAATGTCTCAATGAAGGTCAATGTACTGGTGTAAATGAAAGTCATGTCACAGATGAATGTAGAAAACCCCAATTTTTATTAAGAGATCCCCTTCTCTTCCCTCATATGTCCAGATTCAGGATTTTTTTTACAAGTTGTGGCTTTCCAAAATTAAGACATTAAGGTAGTTGTCTATGGAGCTGCTTGGAAAATAAAACCATTTTTTTTTTTTAATCATATGAGCCTTTTCAGTGAAAAGAATTAAATGAAATCTGGATGAGACATTTTGTGCTTTTCTGGCTAAGCAGTCTGTATGAATTTAGAGAAACAATGCTTGAAAAAAGGCATTGCACTCATGTTGTTTTCCTCAGGGGTTCTAGAGGTATTTGAATTATGAATTATCCACCCTAATTAATTTCCTTTAGAGCCCAATAATTTATTTAATAAACATTCTTGTCCTGAATGTATATGTATAGGCCTACTCCTACATATCCACACATGTATTTTTACAATCTTCCTAGCAGAAGAGGCTAAAAAACTTAATCAAACGTGTATGAGTAGGAGGCATCAATTATTAGATGAAGCGGTTGAGTTCAGAGTACAAGTAATTGTGTAGAAACATCCATTTTTATGAGAGTTTGATGACACACTGAGCCTGACTAGTGAAAAACATTTTAAAGTAATTTATTTTCTCTCTTTGCATGATAAACATTTATTTCAAGGCTCTGCTTATAGTGGGAGGCCTGTACTACCTTGGGTCCACCACTGATGAGGAGACTGACTGCTAGATGTGGAGCTGGCAACAGAGAACAGGAGACTTGATAGAGCTGAATTTATCTCACACTCTTATAAAATTCTAATTTTTGAATGTGCCTTTTTTTTTATGAGTGCATGTGCATTATAGAAAACTTATGGAAGTAGGGAAAGGTTTTGGAAGGAAATCAGAACCATGCCACAGCAGGAAAAAGTATTTTTGTTATGAATATTATAATATGTAATCTGTAATAAATAGCTGGAACAAGAATTCCTGAATTCAGCAGTCACAAATTCTAAAGATTTGAGCTGTGCCCTGGCTTGTGGGATAGAGACAAAATGATTCCTCAAGGAGTACAGTTGACAAGTGGTAATTTGCAGGGGTGTCAAGAGGCCTGCTTCCTGATGCCCCAGAGATGGGGTTATCAACAATAATCAGATCCCCATCAGGCTTGTGGAGAAGTGGTACCTGTCTATTGAGTTGATGTTAGAATGTTTATATGAAAAGCTTTTTCTTGAGATCCCATATGTGCTCAGTCTTGGGCATTGCTGTTCAGATTCTAATTCTCTCTTCATTCTCCTTCAGATTCTTTTGGGTGCCCTGGAGCAATGCAGGGAACAGGGCTCCTAATATGAGGTGAGTGCCTCAGAATAGTCACCTCTCTCACCTCAGGCCCTGCATCAGGAGCAGGAGTTACAGCTGGATGGCCTCTGCCTACATCCCTTTTGATGCTGTGGTAGGGTTCCACGACAGAGCCAGTTCCCAGCTGCTTTTGCCACGAGCAGCCCTCAGCCGTGTTTGCAAGAGCAGATAAAAAGCTGTCCTGCCCCCTGTCAAACCATTCCCCTGTGTGCCACCTGGCTCATTCTTAACGCTGGGCTATGTCTGCAAGGGGGCAGAGTGGAGCGGGGTCAGGTCACCCCCCCACTGGTGCCCTCAGCTGGGACTGCTGCCCTGGAAAGCAATTGTGTAAGGTTGCACCTACTGCTGGGAAGGGTCTCCCCTCTCTGAGACAAAGGACTAAATGAACTGGAAGCATCTCATTTCATGCTTCTGTACCACTGTTGGAGCATGCTTGTTGCATGCCAGCAGTGGGAGTCTTAACCAAACCCAAAAGAAGTTATCTGTCAGCCTAGTCACCTAGTGAGAAGCTTAATATTGTTTCAGGCTTGAATAATGAAGATAAAGCCTTTGTGTTACAACTGAAATTTTATTTACTCAACCACTAGTTTTCTTAGAATTAATGTAAAAATCACTGTTTCAGTAAAGAAGACTTTTCTGGGTTTCTACTTAACTACTAGTCTTAAGCAGTACTTCAGTATCTGACAGGGGGAGTGTTTGATGTTAATTATATTTTGATGTAAGCATATTAATGTAAAAATTTGCTTTTATGCACAGTCTCCTATGTGAGTTTATGTTTTTGAAATATGAACCTAAGCAAGGAAAAAAATAAACCATTACAGTCTTCAGAGTTATAATCTGTTTGTCATAGAACAAAGTACCTTGTCATTTCCCACTACATGGCTCTTCCATATAACTCTACCTTTGCAACATTTACTTTGTTATACTTGATTGAGTATAGTACTACAAAGTGTTATTTATCCAACCTAACATTTGTTCCAAGAAGAAAAAGTAAATATTATGGGCTAAACTCCATTTTAGATTCTTATAAACATAGCTCTCAGAAATGTAAGCCTGAACTCAAACATTCATGACATCAGTGGCCTCTGAAGCAAAACAGAAGTGGATTCTGGATCCAGCAAGAGGAGTAAAGTTGGGCTTCTATCCTTAGAGTTTCTTTCCTTACTAAGCTTCTACTTAACACACCCAGATCTGGAAGAAATGTAATGCACTGTATTTTCTCCCCGAGCTGGAATAGTTTTGGCACATATATCTGCAGACCTGTTTGGCTAGGGAGCTAAGCAATGGTTAAGATTATGCACATCTGTCAGTTAAATCAAAGATCCCAAGGCTAAATGCAACATTCAGAGGCAACACGTAGGCCCATGAATTTTATGGAAGACAGTGTCTAGACACCGATAAGCAGTTCTCTTGCATCCACATGCTATAAAACTGTATATAATTGTTCTCATTTTAGTAACAGCTTTCAGAAAATTACTGCTAGGAATACTTAAGAAGAAACATTTTATGCCAGTGACCTTAAAATTGTAGTACAGAGATCTAATTGTGTTTTCCAGTCACTTATGCCATGGAAGTAAAGAGTATCTATTTTAAGATAGAAGAATTCATTATATAGGAAAAAGACGCTTTTTCTTATAAGAAAAATAATTGATTTGCAAAAACGGTGGATGTGCTATTCTTTTGTAAATACATTGCAAGTGTTAATGCTTATTTTTATAATGTTACTCTTTGTGTATTTTCTGACTTCAAATATATTAACAGGATAACATGGGAGAAGCAATAACTATCTACATGTGTCTGTGTATGGGCCATTCAGACTGTCTGTGTATAATTTTTTTCTAACTACATGGTCTTATTTTCAAAATTGTAAAATATGACATTGAAATTATAAGCCTGCAAGTAATTTACAACCATCTCCTTTCTGGCTTATACATTCCTAGACAATTTTTTCTGGCACAGATGGTAACATCATAACTGCAGATCTCATTGCCATCCATTGCTATGGCTGTTCCTGGGTGTGGGAAGAGGTGATGATTAGCTAAGACAAAACTTGTTGTTCACAACATCTTGAAATTTTGTTTTTATTGATGATAAAAATCGCTTTCAAATAAACTGAAGAATTTAATGGGAAATTGCCTGTCTCTGTCAAGGTTTTATTTTTTTTCTTTTAAGTCAACTGTACATGCAATCATACAACTGATGTTTCCAGTGGTATATATTTCTTTTGTTTTCCTGCTTATACACATTAAGGATATGAGAAAGTCACAAATGCAAGACAGCAGACATAACTTGGAAGAACCTGTAAACAGCAACATTCTTTGAAAGCACAGACCATCTATATTCTTAGATACTACTGTTGCATTTCAGCCTTTCCATGCAATTATTTATTTTTCTGTGACATTTTCAGTGGATTTTGAGTCCACAGGAAGCACACTGTTATCATTCTCCATTCTGCTAAAAAGGATCCTTGCGTTTCAGCCCATTTACAATGTATTTCTTGCCTTAGTCACTGAGCTTATTTTAGGAAAGAACACATGAAAATTGGGTATTTCTCATGCTCCCAAAATTAAATGGAGTTAAGCAGAGTTTTAAGTTCTGCTTTTTAGTTTTGCTTTGAATTGGATATGGATCATTTATGTTGTAGAAGCTGAAAACACATAAGAAGACCAAAAGAGCTTACAAGTGGAATAAATCAGAAATCCAAATGTTGGAACTCATGTCAAACCTCACATGTTGTGATTATTTTTATTTCAACTGTCCTCTCTTGTTTGAGGTATTTGCTTTTAATTTCTCAAATTGTATTGGCCCTTCAGTTACTTTGCAGCATCCTTCCCTGCCACCTTGACTAAGAAATTAATTTGGTGGCTGTTTACATTAATGTGTGTAGTAAGGCAAATCTATCCCCTATGTTCCCATTTATCTCACTTTGAAATGACAAGAATTCTGAAAGATCTTATATCTTGGAACATCAGGAATATCAGCTAATACCTTTCCAAGTGCTTTTGTAGTAGTGCAGAAATGTCCAGATTGGAGCATTTGAAGGTCAGAAGCAACGTTGGTATGTTCACTTTCAATTTTTATGTGAATTCAATCACCTAAATCCTTTGGACATTCAACTGAGCATTTGACTCTGGCCTTAAGCATCTGACAGAGTTAAAGGAATTTGTGTTCAGTGTATCTAAAGCTGCTATTTTCCAAAATTTTTGTCAACTATTTCTGCCTAAAAATATCAATCTCTAAAAGGCTTTCTGTAATCAGTATTTCCATAAAGTCTAATGACTGAGAGGAGTATACTGGTGATTTTCCACATTGGTTAATCATTTAAATATTTGATGATGTTTTCCACAGATATTCTTCCCTTTGGTTCTTGACATGTGTTCATCTGTTTTGGTTGACTTAGTGACTTAAGTTTACTGTCTTTGCCAGCCTCCTCATTTGAGATGTCCTTGAATTATTCATAGAATCATAGAATTATTTGTATTGGAAGGGATATGAAAAATCCTCTAGTTCCCACCCCCCTTGTCTGTTCTGCTAGAACATGGGAATATGACCAGCTGCCAATTACTCTAACATGGCAGTTGCTTCTTAAATTGTCAGATATTCTGTGTGCTCAAGTGAGAGCCATTCTAGGTGGGATTTGGTAGGACAATGCATGAATGGGTAGAATCCTTAACTTTTCTGGAGTTGAAGTCCATGTTACCTGAGTGGCAACTTCTGCTTTCAAGTCCACGGGGTACGTATCAATAGAATGTCTCTAATCTTTGCAGTGGGAATTCTGGTGACTCTTTTTAGGCTTTAGTATTACATTACATCTAGACACAAGACATATCAGTCTCTCAAAGTTCCTCTAATATGCAATGTACTTCTGTTGGTTCTGTGCCAGATTTGTCAGCAATCTGGCTTTGATTTAGGCAAGTCAAGTTTCAGGGTATTGCCATGCATGTGTCTTGAAGTGCAGCAGTGCTCTTTTACAGGCGAGACTCAAGGTCTGTCTATCAAAGTATCTCTTGGGCTTTTTTTTTTTTTGGAACACAGCTATGAGATCTGTGAGATACCTCTCACTGCAGATATGAAACAAATGTGGCTGCCCCTGCAGCATGCTGAGAGTGGAGTATTGCTGTGCATGTTAAGGCCCTGAAACTCAGCAAGACAGAATGCTACTGACAAACTTTGTGGTTATATTCTGAAAAAGATCATGATACAAATGTAATGGAGTCATTAATCTTTAGAATGCCATCTTTTGAAAACTAAGTTTTCAAAAAAGCTCCTGTAAGCTCCTGTAGTATATGGGACTCCTAAATCTGCAGTATTTTTGACTAGGAAAAAAAACTATGAACCTTCTTCATTCTGTTATTTTTTAAATACACTACTTTGCAATAATTTGGAAACTTAATTTTAGCCATAATTTGGCAGAGTAAGAAAATTTGTTTATGTGGCTAATATCTAGATTGAGCTGGCAGTATTCTGAAAAACGGCTGGCTTTTTTTCCACTTGAATTACTATTTATTGAAACCAGACCTTAATGCCCAGATTCAGTTGATAAACTTCCCAATATAAGGAATTGTTAGAAAACAAAGTTTTAATTGTCAAAATACCTGCAATTTTATAATTAAGGAAATTAGAAGGGGTTTAATTAAAAAAAATATTTTTTATTTTACTTAGACTAAACAAAAGTTTAAAAGATAAAAATATATCTAACTAAAGTGTAATAATTTTGCCTAGAGAATATTTTTTATGTGTATAGATAATTCCTCATGCTGACACCGAGATTTTCAGTCATTGTATTTGAGAGAGTGGTATTTTTTGAATACCCCAAATATTCATAGAGCTTCTACCTTTGCTACTTATCTCTACAAACATAATTTCACTGTATTGTACAGGCAGGTATGTTGTCCCTCCTGCTCACAGCAGACAAGGATCACTGACACATGTTTGAAATGGGGGTCCTCTGCTACAGTAAAATGGTAGTGTGAAGGGTTTGCTGAAAAATATTTCATATGGACATGACATGGGAGTAAGTTACTCAAATAACATTTAGTTTCGACTCTTGGTCGCTTCAGTAAAACTGCTTGTGGAGAGTTACTTAATGAAGTTTTCTCTGGCAACTTGTGAGAAATGTTTCTATACTGATGGACAAACCAGACTGGGCAAATCTGGAGCACCTTGGATCTGGCAGAAGTAGCTCTGCTCTGTAACTTCCAATATTAACAAATTTCAAACCAATTCTCTTTAATGAAAAAGTTCTGAGCTCGTTACTAAACTCATGGGCCATTTTGTTTGCTGTCTGAAGATTTCAGACTGAAGTTCAGCTAGCCATAAGAGCACTGACTTTTCAATAACCTTGATTTATCATCTCTCTTTGAAAGTATAACCAAAGTGATGGCCTTGAGCATCTTGCAGCACTCTTGGGCTTGCTCAATGACTTAAGTCTCTGTTTTCTTATTCTGAGTGGTACCGGCTGACCGTGTTTAGCATGAATTTTCTATTAGTCCTCTGGAAAGTTTCTGATATACTGATAAACAAAGGATATGCAACATTACCCCTTTCTGCTTGCTTGAGGCTGTCTGTCTTTTATCCAAATGTTTGTTCTCTTCATTTCATTTTCCCTAAACAGATTTTATTTTTATTTGGTCTTTCATTTTTCCTCATGAAGAACTTTTGAGGAAAACCTCAGTGTTTTTAGTTAACATGATTAAAGTTCTCAGGTAGTTTTTCACTCAGATGTTATTTCTGCAATAAGCTTTAATAAGAAAATAAGAGACATTTTCTAGCATCTGAGAATGTCACGTAGGAAAAATAGAAATGAACCTGTGATCAGCATCCGGCTCAAACTTCTAGTGCTCAGTGTGGGAGCTGCTGCTCTTACACATATTGTGCTGCTGCAGAAGTGGGAGGAGATGAAACTTCTGCCATTTCTATGGCATCACTCAGCAAGGTGTAAATGAAATATGAAAGAAAACCTCTCAGCCCACTCAATGCAGAGACAGACAAAAAGATAGTGCTTTCTATTTGCTGCTGTGATATGCTATTTGTTGTGATATTAACCTTACACAGTGCCAGAATGCTTCCTAAGATTTACAGTCTCAGGTCAAAAGGGAAATGAATTCTTGTTAGGTCTCCTTCTTTTTTTCTCTTTCCACCAACATGCTGCTGCATGTCAAAGCTGATTTTGCAGAGCAGAGCAGGAGTGAGGTGAAAAGAATGACTGGAGGATCCTGTTCTGAGAAAAAGAAATTGTGTGTCAGTAGGCACAGTTTGCAATGAACTTTAGGGTAAAAATGATAAAAAATCTGAACACTGAATGCAGCTTCAGATTCAGAAGTGTTTGCTGACTTCATTTTATTGAGTTGCAGCCCATCTGGGTGATTTGGAGGGAAGGAGCTATAGGTGGTAATGCGTCCATGCTGTGTTTAAATTCATTAGCACAGGGGAGTCTGTTTGTGTTGCTAGGTAGCTCATTTGGTGTGACAGCAGTCTTTGGATACAAGTGGTTTTCATCCCAGTTTTGCCTGTAAGTCTTGCCCTCATAGCTGAAAAAATCACTACCTAGATCTTTGTGGTATCCCACTCATTGTTTTTAAGCCATAAACCAGTCTCCTGGCAGCCCCCTTTTATTTAGCTGGAAATGTTCAGTGGTTGGATCTTCAGAAGTAGCTCCTAAGCTGGTGTAAATAATGCGGCTTCACTGATGTCAATAATAGTATCAGGCTAGTTTACACTAGCTGAAATTCTGTCCTTCAGATGCAAGTCAGCCCCTAATCTCCATGACATTCACACAGAGGCATGTATTTCCCTCTGTTTTTCTAATCCTTGTGTGTCCTTTGTAGAACTCTGTGATTTGTGCTGAAAACAGTGCTGAGAAATGGGATGAAGTGACGTGAATACTGGTTTAAAACACTGGACATCTGAAACCCTGCCTTGTTCTCACTGAGACCTCTGTGTGACAGCACAATTATTTCACTCTTTGTGCCTACGCTCTTCCCATCACTCTTCCAGGCTTAGAGAAGTGTGGGGATAAAGTCAGCAAAGGTTGAGACGGTGCAGTAACGGAGGCTGCAGTATGATAACATCTCAAAAAACCTCACTGTGGTCAGAGAGACACATCCTGTAATGCCTCTGTGAACTAGCACAA